TTTCTCTGTCCCCCACCCCCACTTGGCAGCCCTATTGTTCAATCAGGGTAGTGTTTGCTATTTCCAAGATTCAAGTTTCAAAAGAACTGAGAACTACAAAGATGAGGGCAAGCAACTAAACACAGTCAAGGCAGAAACGGAACAGAGTGAGGGAGAAACTGGACATGGAGGATGGTAGGGTTGTATGAAGGGTTGTATGAAGATGGAGGAGGAGCTGTGGGAAAGAGACAGCAAGCAGTAGCAGGTGGTAAACTGCAGGCTCTGCCTCAGTAGTAAAGCACAAACTTTGCAGGTAAATGATCCCCGGGTTGAATCCTCAGCATCTCCCATTTAAAAGATGGCAGGGATTCAAAAAGACTTTTCTTTCATTGAGATCCTGGCGTCCAGGTTAATAAACCATAATAAAGGACAGAATCAAGCTTTTTAAAATACATGTCTTACAGCCCAGTTTTATGCACCTTTGCTCAAAAGTAAGCTCCATTGGATTCGATGGAATTTACTCCCAAACACTGAACTGTTGCCTTAGGAAACTGGCTGCTGTGCCACCTACACATATTTCGCCTTTGTGGACACCAACTATGCACAGCTCTGTTTAGAGCTGGCATTTGAGTATTAGTACAGAGAGAGCTTGTAAGCACATTTTGTAAATGTCTGAAGCCCCCAATACATACAAATGGACTGCTGAGTTTTAGCGGGGGCACAACAGGAATGGTATACAGTAGGGGGAAATAAGATGAGATTGGGCAACCTCTCGGTGAGCCCCAAACAGTTCTTCAGGGCAGCCTTTGTATTCTGACTGAAAACTATCCTAGTGCTGATCAGATGAGAAATAGGAAGTAGAGTTGTGAACTCTGGCATGGAAAATTACTAGAGATTTGGGTGTGGTGCCAGGAGAAGGGCAGAGTTTGTGGAGGTGGCTCAGGGGGGATGTGATGCCGTACAGTCTTTCCTCCAAAGCTGCCACTTTCTCAAGAGGAACTGACGTCTGTATTCTGGAGATCAGTTATCATTCTGGGAGAACTCCAGACCTGACCTGGAGGTTGGTAACCTAATGGGAAGGGATGTGTGACTAGGCTTGATCCTTGTCCATTTTTTGGTCCAATCAGACTGGTTTGTCCCACCTCTGCGTGCACCACTACATGGACTGTTGTCCACATTGCACAGAGCTCACTTTATTTTTTCCTGCTGAGCCACCTTGAATATTTAGAAAGGTGAGGTATACATTTAATAACTAAAACAGTACATTTTGTATGCCGCAGCCAGCCACATCAGATGTGCTCCCAAGTACCCTACAGCAGCAAATACAGGGGATTTGTTGTACCTGCCTGAGGCCCAGCTAGCTAGAATCCTGTGACACCACCTCGGTGTCACAAATGACCTGGACCTAAGTTGCCTTAGCGTACCAACAAAAGCCAAGTGGCAGATAGCCTTTTAGTGAAACACCTGGACCAGAGGTACTTCCATTTCACCATTAGGCTGCCTGACCCTGCTAGCTAATTCTGGAAGAAATCAGGAGATTGCATGGGTTTGTGGGCTGTTGATGTCTCTCTCTCACACACACACGCACACTCTTATCTGTTGTCGTTCTTTTTTTCTGGTTTCCTCTGCTTGCATCTTTCTTGATTTTTTCCCTGGATTTCTGTCTCCCCATACTTCAGTATCCCCACAAATATCACGGTGGGGAAAGTTTTTTTTTTTTTTTTAAATTAGCATGAGGTGGAGAGGGGGTTCTGGATCTGCATGTATTTGGCAGTTCACAGCACAGAGGAAAATTAGTCATAGTCTCTATGTATCTGGCTTTCAATGCAAAGAAACAGCACTTGTTTCTTGAAGCAGCTCTTTGTACAAGCTCCCTGTGGTGCTTCTGGTTTAAAAATGATAACATCATGAGCTGCTGGCACACAGACATACTTGAGGCTTCAAGCCACATAGCTTCCTTCCTCTCCATACGCTGCCTATGCTAGGTTGATCTGTTACACTTGTGAACATGATTGCTTTATTAGAAGTATTTTAGTGTTTTAGAAATACCCCAGAAACCCTTAACTAGTCCAGTCTGGGTTTATATAATAATTAGTCACTTGTGTGGGGGGAAAAATCTCACTTTTAACAATTCAGTTCTCTCCAGATGTGACCATTACTGAATCAGGGACTGAAAACATATAAAACAGCCCACTCCATCTATCCCTACTCCCGTTCTAAACCAAGCTACGCCCTCCCACACCAATAAACGAGGAGCAGATGCTAATTTACACTGTGGTGTACTAGGTAAGGACTGCTAGGGACTTTCAGAGGCCTGGGTTCAAGCCCCTGTTCAGCCATGAACCTCACTGGGTGACTTTGGCCCAGTCACTCTTTTGTTCTAGCCTACCTCACAGGGAAATGTGTGAGGATAAACGGTAGGATAAGTCATCCTGAGCTTCCTGAATGGTGGCATTAAAAATACGATAGACAGCATGTGGTATTCAAGCATATTCAAAATAAACTATTTACTGCTTAGCACTGAAGCTGCTGAGGTTATGATTCGGAGACAAGGCTCAGTGGTGAATGGGGGTTACTGTTCTGGGGGGATAGAAGGTAAATCAAAAGAACTTTGAGGGTGATTCTGCACTGGACCTTAAATCCTGGTTCAACCCTGTCCCCAAACTTACATTCTACACTACACTCGAGCTCACCCCTGTAACTATCTTGAGGTATTTTTTGTTACCACATTACATTGAGGTCACTCCAGTTTCACCCCACACTTGTCCCGGGATAAACAGATGCTGTTATAACCAGGGATAAAAGCAAGGTATTGTGTCGCGAGTTGAACTCTGAGAAAACCAGGGATGCAGGGCCGGCTCGAGGTGTTTCTGCGCCCTAGGCAAAGCCAGCTTGTGGCGCCCCCCAGGCAATGCCAACCTCCCAGTGGAGCCTGGAGATCTCCCAGAAACATACCCGGGGGGGGGGGGGCGCCAGGCACCACAAGCTAGCTTTGCCCCGCCTGGGTCGGGCCCAGCCAGGCAGCTTCCTCCAAGAAAGGGCTCGGGCTGGCTGGGGGCGAGCACACTTACTGGCACCCTGGGGAGGGGAGGGCCCCGCCGAGCAGGGCCTGCAGCGGAGGTCACGGGCAGTGGGGAGGAGGCCTGGAGTGGGAAGGAGCCTCGCCTCACCTCCCTTGCTGGCCCACCGTCGAGGGGCTGGCTGGCCGGCCTCCCTTTCACCTGGCTGGACCACCTGCTGCTGCGGGCTTCTTCCTCCTCCTCCTCGGTTCCTCCACCACCGCTCCCCTGCCTTCCTCGCGGGGCCGCGGGTGGAGTGAGAAAAGCGCCCCCTCCCTCTGCAATGAAAGCTCACGCAGCCGCAGCAGTCATGCGAGCCCTCACCCCCAGCTGTTTTTCAGGCCTGCCCGCCAGGGCGCAAGTTCGCCAGGGTGGGGCGGGCACCAGGGCCTTCCTCTCTGCCAAGCAAGGGGAGGCCCAGGAGAGCCCCGCTGGCGAGGCCCCCTGGCGCAGACAGGAAAGGCGGGCCGGGCTCCGGGAGAACCTAACCTGGGCCTCCATGGTGGGGCCACTCTGGCCACCGGGCTGACAGCCACCTGTGTTTGAAACGCCTGCTCCCTGCCCCTCGGAGGAAGGAGCATGCTCATTGGCCAGGCTCCCTTTGGCGTCATGGATACACCGTCGGGATTGGCTATCCGGGCAGCCCCTCCTCGCACGCTCGGTAAGAGGAGGCGCAAGTTGGGGCGGGGTGGGAGTGCAGTGGGGGAGAAGCTGTCGGTGGCGGCGGGGCAGCGGATGAAGGCCCTGGCTACTGCCATCGTGGTGGTGGTCCCGGCGGCGAGGGCACGGAGGGGGGGGGCGGGTCCAGTTTTGTGCCCTAAGGGCCTGCCCCATGCTCTAGGCGAATGCCTAGTTCGCCTAATGGGTGAGCCGGCCCTGCAGGGATGAGATCCAAGTTCGGAAAGGACCTGAGACTAATGGATTTATTCAGAGCTTCCAAGGGCTACAATAAGGCCCCTGTCCTTTCTTTAAGGTGCCTGGGTCTGGCTATTTCCTTTACTAGGAAAAATCCCAGGGCACAGCTGCCCAGTGGGCCACCTGTTCCACTGCCATTCCCCCTGCAGTGCAGCCAGAAGGGAGGAACACAGCAGCACCTACAGGTCCAGGTGTAAAGGAACATGGCAGCACATACAGCTGCCTTATACCGAATACAACTAGCTTTAACTTACAGTCCTGGGGTGGGGTGTAGGCAGCGTTACCACCTCCCTGGATAACGTGGCTGTTTTGAAGGGCATTATACCTCACTGTCCTGCCAACCTAGCAGTTTGAAAGCAAGAAATTGCAAGTAGATAAATGGGTATCACTTCAGTGGGAAGGTAACAGCGTTCCGTGCGCCTTGGTGTTTAGTCATGCCGGCCACATGACCACGGAAACGTCTTCGGACAGCGCTGGCTCTTCGGCTTTGAAACGGAGATGAGCACCGCAACCCTAGAGTCGGATTCGACTGGCTTTCGAGCAAGGGAACCTTTACCTTTACCTTTTATACCTCACTGAGGTTCCTCTGGTCCCCAAATCCAGTGCACCCAAATTCTCCAGGAATTTCCCAACGCAGAGTCGACAACCCTAGGAGTAAGTTGGCACACAGCAGCCAAGGAGAAGGAGCACAGTGGCCCCATGCTGCGTCCTGCCAGCCGAGCTACAGCTGGGCTGGCCCCCGCAGATCAACTGCTGAAAAACGGCACAGCACAGTGGCATCTGTCTTCGCCCCGCCGCTCTGCGCATGGGAAAGCTGGCACCACCACGGTGGGGCCGGCGGGGAGGAGCACAGCAGTGCCTTTCTCTCCTGCCCGGTCTTGTGCAGGTAGTAGCGGGAGGCGGCGGCGGCGGCGGGATCCTCTTCCACGGCCGTTTTGGCCTCGTCTGAAGAGATCGCAAGATTTTGGTTTTTCCTGCAACAGACTACGAAATCCTCCTCGCCGGCGGGGGTGGGGGAGTAAAGGGCGGAGTTGGGGCGGGATTTGTCCGATGGGAGAGCCAATGAAGAAAGTAAGGGGAAGACTCTCATCGTGACTCCTTTAGCAGGAGGTGCGCTGTGCTTTGGAACCCGGAAGAGGAGACGTGTGTGCTCCGGAAGTGTTCGTGAAGGGGGTTGCGCTGGAGTTTGAGTGGTACCAGGTCCTTCGTGTCGTAGTTTTTGCCGCCGCCATGTTTCTGACTGGAGTTGCTTGTGAGTGGGGATCGGGTTTTGTCGGAAACGCTTTTGCTTGCGGTTGAGAAAATACTGGGCACAAGCATAACGTCGTTCTGGGGACGCGAGAGGAAAGGACACCCGCATGCACGGCGGCCTCTTTCGGGGTGGCATCTCCTATAGGACAGTGCAGCACTCGTGATCTAGGCTGTCGGGAGAGTGGGCGAGGCGGCGGTTGTTCCTCTTTTATGATTGAGAAATTGACCTATGCAGATAGCTGGCGTATCTTGGCCCCGCATCTGTTGGTCTGATTCTTTTAAAACTAAACGTATCTCTGCCTTTAGTTTCAAGGAGGCCTTCCTCTTCTCGGCTTCATCGTCCGAATCAGGCTGAGAGTTAGTAACTGGCCTGTGGCCACCAGCAAATGCCTGGGTAGGGTTTGAAGCTGTGTTTCCTTGGCCTTAGTCTACGAAGCAACACTGGTTCTTAATAAAGCTGATTGTTGCATGCGCTTTAGAGTAGGGTTGCCAGGTCTGGGTTGGAAAATACCTGGAGACTTTGGGAGTGGATCCTGGAGAGGGCAGGGTTTGGGGAGGGACGGGGCCTCAGCATGGTACAATGCCAGAGAGTTCACCCTTCATAGCAGCCGGTTTTTTCCAGGGGAGCCGATCTCTGTCAGCTGGAGATCAGTCGTAAAAGCGGGAGATCTCCAGGTCCCACCTAGAGGTTGGCAACCCTACTTAAGAGTTAAGAAAAATCTCTAAGCAACACACTGAACTAGATGCCCAAAATTCCTGGAAGCTGGACCACTGCATGGTTAAATAAGAGGGCTAGCATGCAGCCTTGTACTTTATAGCTGTGGAGCCATTTCCCATATTACACAGAGCAAGGTTAGGGTTGTCACTGTCGCAGCAGTGACTGCCAATTTTGGCCCCATAGGTAATGTAACTGGATGCTTGTCACGTTCACATAAGGTATTTAGCTGCAGAATCCCTTGGACAGCTTGATGAAAGTGTCAACAAAGTGTGCTGCGTATTACACAGAGCAAGGTTAGGGTTGTCACGGAATGTCACAGCAGTGACTGCCAATTTTGGTCCCATAGGTAATGTAACTGGATGCTTGTCCCGTTCACATAAGGTATTTAGATGTAGATTCCCTTGGACAGCTTGATGAAAGCGTCAACAAAGTGTGCTGCAGCAGTGGAAAAGACAAACTGCTGGGACTGAAAATGAAATGGCCAATAAAGAGCCTCATTTGCAATACCATGGCCCCAGTCACACGGAAAATTTGCTGTGCGAAAGGCACGAATGCTGGGTGGATTTTCGGGGTGCGATCACACCGCAACATCTGGGAAGCATAGCACACCCATGGCGTGCCGCTCAAGATGCGCATTTAAAAAGTACCTGCAAAGATCTACTAGCAAATGGTTTGCCACGGGCTGCAGACGGACTCGTTCGGTGTGATTGCGCCGGCACACGCCTATTCCTTCCAGCTGTCCTCTTTGCAGCGCGCACCAAAGGACAAAACCCCGGTGCGCCGCGGTGACGTCTGATCGCATAATGGCCCAGAATGCGACGGCGCAAATAGCCATGCCTCTCCCCCCCCGCGCGCGTGTTTTCCAGCACGTGTGCCCGGGGCCTTTGTCCAGTTCTGGTCACGGTATCTCAAAAGGGACATTGCAGAGCTGGAAAAAGTACAGAAGAAGGCAACCAAGATGAATAAGGGGTTGAAGCACTTTCCCTATGAAGAATGGCTGAAGAATCTGTGTCTTCTCAGTTTAGAAAAAAGGCAACTATTGGGGGACATGATAGAGGTTTATAAAATGGTGCATGGGGTAAAGACAGTGGACAGAGAGAACCTTTTCTTTCTCTTCCAAAATACTAGAACTCAAGGGCATCCAAGGAAGTTGAGAGGGAGTAGATTCAGGATGAACAAAAGGAAGTATGTCTACAGAACAAGTGATTAAAATGTGGCATTTGTTGTCAGAGAATGTAGTGATGGCCACAATCATAGCCAGTTTTAAATGAGGATTAGACAGATTCCTAGGTGACAGGCCTGTTCCTGGCTACTAGCCATGGTGACTAAAGGGAACCTCCATATTCAAAGGCAGTAAACCCCTAAATGCTAGTGCCAGGAGGCAACACAAGGGAAATGCCTTGGCCTTTATGTCCTGTTGTGGGCTCTCCAGAGGCCACTGTGTGAAGCAGGTTGTTGGACTAGATGGACCACTGGACTGATCCAGCAGGGCTCTTCTGAGTGTGATTGGAGATAAGGGAAATTATTGTAATTCACAGGATATTGTTACAGGATAGCTGCATCATAGTTATTCTGTGGCTTTCACAAGTGTTGGCTGCCTGAAATGGGGAATATTGAGTTACAGGTTTGTGCTTGAACAGGAGTTTAATTATAACTGACATTTTATTATTTGTTACTAAAGAGGCTCACCAGTTGCATTTTTTATATATTACCTCCCCATTATTAACAGTATACTACTGATAGCCTGGAGACTGGCACTCTCATTCTCAGAACCTGCTATTTAGGAACCAGTGGTGCAGGTACCGCTGCTTGTTTGATCCCTGTAAAAAAAATTACATTTGCATTTTTTAAAAAAACCTTTAAACATCTTTATGGGTAGAATGCCCCTTTGACTATTGCAGGGTTGATGTAACAATTGTTCAGTTGAACTTTATTTTTGTTGTCCAGTCGCACAGTCGAGTCCGACTCTTCGTGACCCCATGGACCACATCCCGACAGGCCCTCCTGTCTTCCGTCGTGCTCCGGAGTTTGCTTAATTTCATGGAGAGTGAACTTTATATGCATGCATAATTCTATATATCATCTAGTAGTGGAGAACATGTTGATAACCTTGTTCTCTTCTTTCCTCCCTTCCAAAACTAGTGGCCAAGACCAAATCCAAGTAAGTTTCAAGTTATTTGTTAACCTTTACTTATTATACTCATTATGTATTGCTTAGCATTCCTGGTGACTGTATTTTTGGTGCTATGCCTCCCTGCAAGTGAGGCATTGGAACTCAATTAGTTATTAATAGCAAATAACTAACTCTGACCTGGATAGCCCAGACTAGCCTGATCTTGTCAGATCTTGGAAGGTAAGTAGGGTCAGCCCTGGTTGCTGTTTGGATGAGAGACCACCAAGGAAGTCCAGGGTCACAA